GATAGCTACTTACCCAAACTATATGCACAAATTTTATTTGTTTACATGAAAAATTTATGATAATCTATCGATTTACAAATTCCATGGTTTGTGTATGTCCAAAACTAAAATCATACTTTAAACAAGAATATCAAATAGCATATGCTTACCACCACCTCCTCTGCCACCAAAACCACCTCTTCCACCACCACCAAATCCTCCACCTCTGCCGCCACCTCCTCTGCCACCACCTCTGCCACCATACATTTCTGTCTGAAAAAACAACAAAAAAACAATTATATTATTGTTCTGGGAGAGGGCTGGAGGGTAAAGAGTTGTCTTAATGAAGACCCATTCTTTTGCTTTTCACTCTTACCCCCTTTCATCTTGGGAGACCCATGGAAAATCAGGGGTTGAATTGGGAGGGCGCACTTACTTGGAGCAAACCCCTAGGGCATTTTGCAGTTTCATTATAAGAACCGCAAAAAAAATCATGACGAGTATTTGGGAATGTTCAATATATCAAAGACCAAAATACACCCAAAGCATCACTTGTGCAGACCAAAAATCTCTTTAACCCAAACCTTATTCACCATGATTTTAGTCTCTGTCAAGGCTTACTTTATTTATTTCAACATTACTTTTTACATGCCCAGATTATTTCATGCACTAATAATTTTTTGCTTCTTTTTTACTGTTGAAGTGTCCTTTGATCTTCCCGATTCTAAAGCAGTCATTAAGCAAATGCATAAAAAAATGTTTGCTATAAGAACTAACTTTCATCAAAATATAACCAAACCAAAATGTAACTGTTATAGAACATAATGCTATAATATATATATAGACATATACATTCTATTTGTATGAGTAATACAGTGGTTTATGAGTGTATTCAGCGCCCCTTTTCGCTTGTACTCATCGGCCATCCAAGAGACAATGCAGTTTCCTCAATACAATTAGGTGAAATTATACAAAGTCTAACTAAATTGGATTTCAGGTGCCGCAGCATCACTAGCAAACTAATTCGATGTGGATATACGTTTTAGTGGGATAAATCATAATAAATTAACTTGTTTATTTTGTTTATAACAATTACCGACCCAGCATGTTCATACGGAAATCATATATGTTTTTTAAATAAGTTATACTAGATAATTCAGACACTGAGTGAGAAAGAGGAAATGCATTGGAAAGAGGAAATTCTTTGGCTCTCTGACAATCTCAGTAAAGAGTTCAAGACTCCCAAGTACTCCATAAACTACAGGAAAAAACACCCACATGTATTCCACGTTTAACCTCTAGAAGTATCACCGCTTAATCTCATCTTTTTTCATAACCACGCTTAATGAAAACATATTTTATCCTAAGAATATACAGAAACAATAAGGTGCAATTAGTTATAATTTTCATTGATACCTAACTATATGTTTAACACAAATAACTCTCAATATCCACAAAATTCAACTCACCGTCTTCAGTCAACTAACACTTGAATGTAAACAAGCCGACCCACGTGCGTCAAAAGCGCATCTGGTTGAGATTTTAATTGCCAGCTGACTTCTTGCACATTGATACTTCGCTTATACCACAAATGATTTTTCTCATA